GACCTCCTTCTCGTAGTTGCTAATCTACACAGTTATACGACGTTCGAATTAATTAAAACAGTATTAATTAAAACCATAAAATAAGCAAATGTATTTTGATGTTTAGACACATTCCCCTTAAAAAAGGGAAATTGGAGTTTGTGGGAGGAAACAAGCATTGTTTTATGTTGCACCTTAGAAAGTGTCCTCCAACAAAATAAAATAATCAAATTAAATCAATTCAAAATTACTTGCGTAACCAGTTGAAGTATTAATTGGTTACCATGTTGATGTGGTATCCAACTCAGTATTATTTGCTATTCAACCTAATTTCGTCACATCACTTCCTACATCAGCATGGTAACTTGTTAATGCTTCAACCGGTTACTCGGTTACTTAAATGTTTAAAACTTTACATCTTATGTACCAAAATGGAAGTTTTGAAAACACGTTGTTTTAAATAGGAATCAAGTTAAAGTACATTACTTTTTCATGCAATTTGTTCTATAAAAAATACATGGGAAAGAAAACTGAAAAATCAAAGAAGAGAACGAAGCTATATATATATATATATATATATATAGCCTCTTGAACCACGACTTTAGCTAGAAGAGCAGAAGAAAAAACCGAAACAATTGCAAAAAGAAAATGCAATCACTTCTACAAAATTTGGTTTATAGGACGCCCCCAAATTTTAAGCGTTCCAATAGACCGTTTTATAAGACTTGATTTATAGGATCAAAATTTAAAGCGTCCTATCTAAATGCGTTGTAATAAATTTATATGACGCTTTTGGATGTCTTAACAAGTTTTTAAGACATTTTTAATATAAAGCGTTGCATTAGCAACTTTATAGCCCCCACCTCCATAGCCATAGCATGGAGGAGCCCCCTTTGTGGTAAACGGGAAACCTGACTCTCAAAAGTGTCCTTATAAACTCAATTTTTATAGGACAATTTTTCAAATAGTGTCTTATAATTAAAGTTGCTAATAGGGCGCTTTATATTAAAAGTGTCATAAAAAACTTATTACAACTTAAAAAACGTCATATAAACTTATTACAACGCTTTTAGATAAGACACTTTATTTTTTGGTCCTATAAACTGAGTCTTATAAAGAGGTCTATTAGGACGCTTAGGAATTGAGAGCGTCCAATAAACCCGATTTTGTTATAGTGAATGACGTACACGAATCAGACACACACATAGTCGTCAAAAGACCAAATAAACCAAAAGAACCGAGTAAACACGAGTTAAAGCTTCAGTAAATTTAAACTGTAAAGTCCAACGATTTTTAACGCATTTTTCTTAGGGCCCCTTTACCAAATGTTTACCCGGGTAAGCGCTTACAAACTCATATTACCTTACCAGAAGAATATGGTAAGGACCAGGATTCTTACTCGGTAAGAGCAAGACAAGGACCAAGAGTCTTTACCCGGTAAGTGAGGGCGACGACTCTTACAATGGTAAGCGCTTACTGAGTAAATTGTTGCATACGGTAACGTTTTGGTGGACTAAAATCTTACCCGATAAGTAAGTATTAGTGTTAAATTTTACCATTATACGCTTATCGGATAAGTGTTTGATAAATGACCGATTGATTTTCAAAAAACTTACAGGAAAATTTGTAGTTGTAGTGGTGCCCCAATACTTCAAAGCAGCTAAATCATAAGCTCTTGCAGCCTTATCTTCTTTATCATAACCTCCTGTAATAACATAACCCTAATTAATATTACACAATCTTTACAAGAAAATACAAGAACCCAGAAACCCGATTTTTTTTATTAACCTGGATATCCAACCCGTTATGCAAGTCGACTAATCTCACGTGATCACCTGCTTTATGGGTAGTCCGAAATCACCGCATTTGAACCTTCGTGGCCATAAAGGGATTTTCAAATGCGGTGACTCCGGGCTACCCGCAAAGCAGGTGGTCGCTCTGGGATTAGTCGACTTGCATAGCGGGTTAGATATCTAGGTTAATCAAAAAAATATCGAAAATAAAAATACCCTTTTTCTAAAAATATAGTAATTAAAATATAGGACAAATTGCATGAAAAAGTAACGTACTTTAACTTGATTCTTATTTTGGGTAATGTAATTTCAAAACTTCCAGTTTGGTGCCTAAGATGTAAAGTTTTGAGCATTTAAGTACTTGGATAACGCCTTGAAGCATTAACCAGTTACCATGCTGATGAGGTATCCAACTCAATATTATTTGCTACTCAACCCAATTTCATTTCATCACTGGTCACATCAGCATGGTAACCGGTTAATGCTTCAACGGTTACCCGGGTACTTAAATGTTTAAAACTTTACAATTTATGTACCAAAATGAAAGTTTTAAAAATACATCTATACTATATTATAATGCATTTGGCTAAAACTCTTAAAAACTCTTAAACTCTTAAAACTCTTAAACCCGTTCATCCCTAACCAATTTCATCCCTATCCGATTTCATCCCATAACTGAATTCGTGTAACTAACTGCAGATAAACACAATCAAATACAGGATAAACAT